CCCTGCCCTTTCCTTACCTTTAGTCCTCCTCTTCCATATCAGAAAAGACACCACAGCTCCCATAAGCAAAGCTCCAAGAACCAGGCCATTAACCATTGTCATGATGGGGCCAGCGGGATGAGGAGGCTCTGAGAGAAGGATGGAAGGAACAGTGAGGCCTCTGACCTCCAGCTGTCAGTCATGACCCTGCTCCAGTTCCCCAAGAGGTCCCGCCCTCACTGTGAGAGGCTCCCTGCTCACTCCCATTCCTCACCCCATCTCAGGGTGAGGGGCTCAGGCAGCCTCTCATGCTGTACATGACATGTGTATCTCTGCTCCTCCCTAGGAGGCACCAGCATAGCTGCCCACTTCTACAAGGTCCCATCTCCTGTGGACCTTGTCTCCACCACTTACATATCCAGATTCTGGTTGCTCCCATCCCTCTGCCAGGTCAGGGTGATCTCAGCAGGATAGAGATGTATCTCATGATCGTCCTGATGGAAAGCATGGAATGTAGGCAGACATGAATCTGGAAAGGAGTTGAGAGTTCCACATCTTGATCTGCAGGCAGAATAGACTGGGTGCCACACTGGGTATAACTTGAGCATACAAGGCCTCAATACCTGCCTACTCCACAGTGACACACCTCCTCCAAGATCACACCTCCTAATAGTGTCACTCTCTATAGGCCAAGCATTCAAACACATGAGTCTGCAGGGGGCCATTCCTATTCAAACCACCATGCCTGTATAGAGTTACTTGTATGTATGTTTTCAAGGATGACCAGGTGGTATAGGATAACCAGTCAGTGTGCTCTTCTCTGAGGAACACTTCCTCCCACCTCCACCTTTCCTTGGGCTCCTGCCGTTCTTGTGTAGGGATGAGCACATGTGTACTTTACTCTGTTTACTTGGACATGTCTATTGGTATTGTCCTTGTTCAGATCATCGTAGGGCAGTCATTTGGGTGGGGTTTATGGATATAACTACTAACATTCCTAAGAGACTTCTCCCTCTAAAATGTTCCCTGAGCTGGAGTGTCAAAACTGCATTTTGTTAAGGTGTTTTTTCACATCGACTCAAGGTGCCTCCAACATCAAAGCTGAGTCCAATTGCTGATAATTAGGTAGTCAAGTTGTCCCAACCCCAGTGTCTGTTTATTACAGGAAAACTAACACCAGAAAGAATGCTCACAATATTAACATACAGAGGTCATTAACATTTGTAAGATTTATTTATTATGTAGACACTTTTCTGCCTGTGGGCCAGAAGAAGGGACCAGACTTCCTTATAGGTGTTTGTGAGCCACCATGTGGTTGTTGGGAAATCGATTTAGGACCTGTGGAAGAGAAGCAGTGCTCTTAACCTCTGAGCCATCTCTCTAGCCCCAGAACTCATTAATATTAACAGTGATGTCAGAGTTTAGCAATGTTTTAACCTTCTCAACACCTTGCCTTTGTCCAGGGAGAGATTGAGTGTTCTAATCCATCTCAGCTTGAAAAGCCCTGTTTGGTACTTCCCACAGTGAAAAGACCTGCACATAGAGAAGTAATATGAATATTAAGGTATTCCTTATGCATGTTGCAAGCTTATTTTTAACCATTTGATTTATGCTCCAAATCATCTCAATGTGACATTGATATAATTGCCAATTGTGATGAATAGTCTTAATGAATGTTTAAAGTCACCATATGTCCATGTCCTTAAATCAGGATGTCAGAATTCAAACCATCTCCGAAATATGTGAATGTCTCTTTAATACACTGATTACGAAGCAAAAACAATGTCCTTGATAAATATCTTCATGTACTGATGCCCTCACATTTTAGGTGTGTGGTACTCTCCTGTTTTGAGTTTGCTAGAAGGTTCAGGAATTGCTCCCCTTGTGTGAGAAATGTTTATGCTGCATCTCAGCTGTAAAAATGGGCTTGAGTCCCTTAACTGTGTTCTTTGCCAGCTGACCCTGAAGCTTTGCCAGTAGAGGGCAGAAGAGCGCCAGGAAGAGAACGCATTGGGTTTCTGTCTTGAGGCTCATTGCCAGGATCCTGCAGTGAATGTCTGGTTTGCACCAAGTTAAAATCAGAAGTAAGTAATGATGGTTCACTCTGTGGGTGCAGATGAGACAATGGAAGCCCCCCCCCAAGGGACCCAATAAAATGGAATGAGGAGTCATGCCTGAGTCTCAGAGATATGAAATGGTGGTCAATGCACTCCCACATTGGGTAATGTCATGTCTTTAGAAGGTTCTCCCAGGGTGTCCAGAGTATTGTGCTTGATGCCTGGGTTTGGGGGTCTGTGGAGGCATCCGCCAGGTGTCATATGGGGATATTGTGCTAGGCTGGGAATCATCAGGGTTCTGTCAGAAGCACATTACCCTCCTCAGCTCCTGTCCCTTCTCTATGTTCTTGGGGACATGAACTATATGACCAAATACACAGCAGCCAACTCCCATCCTAGTACCTTGTCTGCCCCAGGCTCCTGTGAGATAAGGGAACTATGTCTAATTGCAGGTAGACTGAGCTGGCCAGGAAAGGACCATGACATAACACTGAGGCCATGGGAACCCTAGATCAAGGACCAGACATGGACATTTCAGTGCTAGACATAAGTCTTTATTTTCCTTTGCTTCCTTGATCCTGTCAGCCAGATCAGCATCTGGGCTAGGACTCAGAAGGATGTTGTCAACAAGACAATTACAGGTATCAGGGTAAGCAACTTGTCCCCAGACAATGCTCTCAAGATACCAGGGATCAGCACTGGATCTGTGGTGGGTAAGCAGGGTTCTTGAAAAGCCTCTCCAAGTTGTTATTCTCTTCTTATTAATCTTTTATTTAAATTAAAACAGTCTTATTTTACATGCCAATTTCTGTTCCCTCTACCTTCCAACCTTCCACCCCCACATCTCTCCTTCCCATCCTCATCCACTCCTAAGAGAAGGAGAGGCCTCCCATGGGAGATCATCAAAGGCTGTCACATCATTAGGGACCAGATCCAGTCCCTCAACCCTGTATTTAGGCTGAGAGAATATTCCTCCATGGGGAATCAGCTCCAAAAAAAATCTAATCATGCCCTAGGGATAAATACTGGTTCCACTGCCAGAGGCCCCATAGAGTGCCCAAGCCCCACACTGACAGCCTTGTCAGGGAGGCTGCTTAGGTCTTATGCAGTTCCCCAGCTGTCAGTCTGGAGTCTGTGATGTGATCTCTCCTAGTAGTTAATCTTTCCATGGCATTTCTGGTCATTGTCACTCCTATTGAGAATTCTTAGAGAAGTCAGTCACCCTCATTCCAGATAACAATGTGAATAAGGAAAACTGCATTTATTCTCTAACCATCATTTAGGATGAAGATTCTTTTAAATGTATGCACAAAGACGAACTTCCTCAATAATATTCTAAATTCTAAATAAAATTTAATATCACAAGATGTACTCAGTGAACTTGATTCTTCTATGGGCATGGATGCAGCTACTATGAAGGATACGATAATATTTTAAATTCCAGTTTGTAAGTAACACCTGAATAACTCTAGTGAAGTATCCAAGATAAGCATCTTCAGTATGCCAAGTCTGGTGGCCCATGGATTTCTCTCAGTACTCAGGGCACAGAAGCATGTGGATGTCTGTGACTCAGCAAAGAGAGAGAGAGAGAGAGAGAGAGAGAGAGAGAGAGAGAGAGAGAGAGAGAGAGAGAAAGGGAGAGAGAGAGAAAGGGAGAGAGAGAGAAAGGGAGAGAGAGAGAAAGGGAGAGAGAAAAGAAAAGAAAAAGGTAAAATGATTTGAAGATGCTGATAAAAAAACAATCCCCCCTATGGCTGGAGAGATGGCTAAACCATGTAGACAACCAGTGTTGGAGCCCTTTAAGTCTGGAAGATCACAGCCTCCTGTCCCTCCTACTCAAGGGTTGGTAAGGGCCTCTCTGGCCTCCGCAGACTACTGTACTTCCAACCTTCACAAACACAACCAAATACACACAGAAACAAAATATAAAAATAAAACTTAAAATATTAACCTTGTACATATATGTGAAGATGCTTTTCCTATGATGTACATAATACTATAACAGTAAAAATGAGAATCAGACTCTAAAATGTGTCTAGTGAGAAAGATCTATTATTTTCACCATATCATTGTACTTTGGTAAACAGTTGTTCCTTTTTGCAAACATTCTGCTTACATGTATTATATCATTAATGTTCAATAAAGAAAATGCTAAAACTTATCAGTTACAAATGTACTGAACATAGACTGACATAATTCACACAAGCATAAACATTTTTGATGGTCAATGCATTTCTAAGATTCTGTAGAATCTTAGAATTGTGGATGGAATCCTGCCTAGACCTATAGCCGTTTAGTCCCAAATAAACACATAAAGGCTTACATTAATTATAAACTGTTTAGCTGATGGCTCAGACTTCTTAGTGGCTACCTTTCTCTTAATTATTAACCCATTACTATTAATGTATGTATCTCCATGTGGTCTTGGCTTACCAGAGAATTCCTGGATGTCCTAACTTACTGGTAACTACATGGTGTCTCTCTGGCAACTCACTGTTTGTGTTCCTCTTCCCAGCCTTCTCCTGGTCTGATAGCCCTTCCTATACTTCCTACCTGACTACATCATGCCTGTCCATTGGCTGAAACAGCTTTATTCATCAACCAATAAGAAAAACATATTCACAGCCTACAGGAGGGCATTCCTCCATCAGATAACTGCAGACTCAATGGCTTCTGGGCTGGAATCAAAAGGATATTTTGACCAGGAGGAGATGGACAATGACCACGGTAAGCATCTTGACCCCATAACCTGCTGCTAGGATCCCAGGTGCCAGAGCTGGGTATGAGCTGGGAAAGCAGAACCCTGGAGATTCCTCTTCCAGGACTTCATCTTTCCATGACCAAACATAATGTTCTCTCTCACTACCACTGGGAATTCTTAGAGAAGCCAATCAGCTTTCTCCATATCGAGATTATAAACTGAACACAGACAAGCAAAGACTCGGTGTCCACTCTTCAAGGATAATGAAGACCTTAGTTTCTGAGGCTCTCTTCCTGCTGATCCTGGGCAACCTTGCTATGATCAGGTATCCAAAGGATGAGTGTGGATGTCAGGAGTGGAAAATGGTGGATTTCACCCCTGAGGCTGCAGCACAGAAAAGTCTGCCTCTTCCCTAGCCCAGCCACAACCTTCTTGCCCTTATTTATTTTACATCCCTTCTCCTGCTTCCTGCTCTCCTGGGAGGACTGTAGGGAGCAGCATAGGACACTATGTGGAGTATCTAGAACTAAAGGTCCACTGCATCTAGGTTCACATTCCCTGAGCTATTTGCAAACTCTCCTCACCTGGCCTGACCTCCTGGAGCCTCACTTCATCCTTGGTGTCTACTTGGATGACATTCATATTGAGAAGTTCAACACCAGAGAAGAGACTCCAAGGCTGGAGCACTGTGCACCTTGGCTGGATCATCAGCAGCCAGAATACTGGGAGAAGGAGACAATGGGCATCCTGAGACTAATTTCCTTCTACAGCGATTTACTGAAGAAAGTGCTACACCTCTACAATCAAAGTGAAACTGGTGAGTGAACCTGAATCAGAAATCCCAAAATTACAAGCACCCAAGGGTTTGCCCCAATTCCCCATATCCAAGATTTACCCCAGTAAAATGAGAGCCATGTAGATTAGGCTACAGAGAACCTGGGACACAGACCTGGTTTTCTGCCCAACTTAAGCTTTGTAAATATTTTCATTTACAAAGGTCAAGTGGGAGGGTCAGAGCCACAGGAGGGCCCCAAGGAACCTGGACCCTTGAAAGTGACTGAGAGTAGGGGCTTGGGCAGGATATCACACAGTGCAGATCCTGGTGGCCTGCCATGTGCTGCCTGGACAGAAATTTAGCCGTGGACAATGTAAATTAATCTTCAACGGCCATGATCACCTCACACTAAATGAGGACCTGAGCTCTTGGACTGTAGTTGGCAAGGCAGCTGAGATCCTGATGCAAGAGTGGGAGGAGACACAATTTTCAAAAACTATGAAGCCTCTTCTAAAGAATAATTGTGTGTACCTCCTCCTCAAACAGCTGGACTATGGGAAGGAGTTTCTGCTGAGGACAGGTAAGGAAAGAAATTGCCACAGCTGCTCTATGACTGGATCCCCTGTCCCCTGAGGATTCCTCCTCAGCAAGGAGCAGCTGGACACTAACTAGGTCTCACATGAAAGGGGAAGGATGCCATGGGTTTCCTAATTCATCAAGAGAGGGGACTCTTCAGAGGAATAGTAAACCTTCTGTCTGGATGGTTCAGCAGCTCCCTTCCATGTGCATTTTGAATCTGACCTCGGTGAGGCCTGTTCCCTGTCCATGTGTGTTTGTGACCTGAGCCAGTGTTGCTGAGTCTCAGGCCCCATCCAGTGAGAACCAGAAGTCCATATTCCTATGCTGGCTCTGATCTGTATCCTAGGATTAGACAGACTGCTGTGTGGGGACAGCATCTCTCATAGTAAACTGTCCCATCCATTGAAATCAAGGTTACATACACACTGATGGATCTTCATAAAGAATATAAAATAACTGAATCTTTAAATGTATTTCCCCAGACATCCCGAAATTACATGTGACTCATAATGTCAGAGCTAATGGGAATATCACTCTAAGGTGCTGGGCCCTGGATTTCTACCCTGCTGAGATCTCCCTGACCTGGCAGAGGGATGGGAGCAACCAGGATCTGTACATGGAGGTGATAGAGACCAGGCCTGCAGGAGATGGAACCTTCCAGAAGTGGGCAGCTGTGGTGGTGTCTCCTGGGGAGGAGCAGAGATTCACATGTCATGTACAGCATGAGGGGCTGCCTGAGCCCCTCACCCTGAGATGGGGTAAGGACTGGAAGTGAGCACAGAGACTCTCACAGTAAGAGAGAGGATAACTGGAGCAGGGTCATGACTGATAGCTGGAGGTCAGAGGCCTCACTGTTCCTTCCATACTTCCCTCAGAGCCTCCTCAGCCCGCTGGCCCCACCATCACAATTGTTACTGGCCTGGTTCTTGGAGCTGTGCTTATGGGAGCTGTGTGACTTTTCTGATATGGAAGAGGAAGACTAAAGGTAAGGAAAGGGCAGGGTCTGAGCTCATGAATCCCTGGGAATATCAAGTCCAGCTGAGAGTGTGCCCTGCCACATGAGACCAAAGTTTCATGCACACAGTTTCTCACTGTGTCTTGTGCTGATGAGCTGACATTAACTCCACTGTGAAGCATAAAGGAAATAATGAACAGATTCATCACTGCAATGACAGAGGTGGCAGAGACCAGATCCTCAGCTCTCAGAGATCAGATGGGAAGGTTCCTGTGAGAACAGATATGCAGGAGTCCAGTTAGTCCTCTACATGTGCAGTCCTCCATCATGCTTCCTCATCCTCCTCTGGATCTGCAATCACAGATCTGGAAACTTCCTGAGATAGACCAGGGGATTCCTCCAGGTGTTCTAGATCCTGATGCTTCCATGAACGCTAATAAAAGGGATCAATCCCACAGTAAAATGTGAGGCAGCTGTGTTCAGACTCGTGGGTCCTTACACTGGGGACCCATTGCTGAGACATCTGTGGCATAAAGACAGAGGCCCATGGACCTTCTCAGCTAGCCCATACATCTTCATTTAGTTCAAGTGTCAGCATATTTCATCTTTTATTGAGTCACTTTCCTCTCGGAGGTCAAACTTCTAGAATGTCCAGCCGTGTGTTACAGCTTTAAAAAGGACACACTAAAGGGCCTGGTGTGAGACAGGGAGAGGTCAGAGGATAGAACCCTGCAGCATGGTCATTCCTGGGATTGGGACTGTTTGAGTGTGTGATGAGCTGTTCAGAATGACACCATTTATGACACTGATCTGAATATTTTCCTTGTTCTTTTCTTGTACAGAATAAGACAACTGGACTGAGCCTAACAGGATTCATCTGTTCTCTCTTTTCCCACTGTGGCCTCAAGAGTTGATGACTTCTCTTCCTGCATCGGACTGTTACTATGTGTCTGTGTCCTGTGAGTACAAAGTAACCAGGTGATGAGCACAGCCCCTCTCCTCCCATCCACACACCCACCATCATTCCCTCCGCAGTCACCATCGCTGTTCCAGCAGGGGCTTTGCTGGCAAACAAACCTCCGTCTCTGACTTAAATTTACTTTTCCCTGAGCTACAACTTAATGCATCTTTCTTAACGTTAAGAATCATTCATGGTTTTGCAACTTCTTTCAGAGTGGGTATTTGATTAGTGTACTAAAGATGAGTAAACCTTGATGGAGAAAGCAAAGTCTCAGATTCTGTCAGAATCATTTATGCTGTTAACTCGCTGCCTCTTGGGACAGCAGAGGCCTGCCTGGGCACAGCCATTGCTCCTCCCACCCTGGCTTTCACATACTCCCTTTACATCTCTGACATCTTGTTAGTTCTTAATCCCTGTTGTTTCAATAAACTTATTAACCAAGACAGGTAATCCTATGAGCTCAGGCATTTCTAGCATCTGTCCCATGTCTGTGCTGTTCTGTCGTGTTGGCAGTCAGCCTGTTTAGCTCTGATTCTAATGTTCCATCAAGAGATGTTTAGATTCCTGGTTCTATAGGAATTACATTTGTTCTCAGTTCTGTGGTTAGTGTCTTCTGTTGTCCACATTCACTGATACCAGTATGGAGTGTTTCTGTCATTGTTCAAACATGGGTCTCTCTGGTGTTCTCACCAAATTGTCAGAGTCCAAACCTGATTTCTGACAGTAATACCAGCAGGAGGAGCTATGCCTGTTCAAGATCAACCTGGGCTACATACTGAAACCATGTCTCCAAAGGAAGTGATTAATATCTAATAAATAGACAAATGAATTAAAAAACTTAATTTTATTCATGATGGGCAAAACTGTACTATGCCAAGTCCATTCTTCAAAACTCTCAGCTGAGTATCTGAGTCAGACAGTAAGTAGTGAGATGTAAGGATAGCTATGTGGAATATACAAATACGCAATACCTGGTGATAAACTTCTTGAATCCCTAAAGGGTTTCACAGTCACCACTAAGGCATATGCATAGGATCTCAGATCATCCAATTACTTTCAATTACACTTGAAAACCTTCAAAATGCAGAAAGGGAATCCTGGCCCCAGCTAGAGGCATGGTGGGCTAATATAAGCAGCAGCTGGCTTGGGACACTTGGGAAGAGTTTTTCATTTTTTGTCTGTTGCATACTTATGGGGAGAAAAAAGATGTGTGTATGGTGTGGCCATTTGAGTGTGATTCTGATATGCCTGTGCCCTATATGTGCATCTTGCTATCATGTAAACCCCCCTCATCTTTATTTAGGGTGACCATATGGACAGTTGCCATTGTGTCTGATGTTAAAAGATCCTTAACTGCTGTCTTTGCTAAGGGTGACCATGAGGAAAATCACCATTTTTACTAAGGGCAAACTTAAGATTAAACATTTGTCTGACCAAATGGATTTTATCCACCTCCTGTTTAATATATCTTTGTGTGAACATGTTATTTGGATTTAATTCTATAAGTATGAATGCAAGCTAGCTTTAAATCTCTGTGTATGTATGTATGTAGCTTAATTGCATATATATGCATATATATGTACATACATACATATATATGTGTGTATATATATATATATATATATATATATATATATATGCAGCAAGAGTTTAAAAAAATTTCAGTTCATTATATCTCCTTCTGGACTAAAGCCAGTAAGTCTCAAATATTTTAGAATGGTATGTACTTTTAAATGGTGATAAAAATGTAAAATTATAAAGATCTATTCAGAAACTAAACTCAAAAGAGTATTCTCTACCATACTGTCCCACCTTCAGTATTGTCAGTCTTTAATGTTATGCCTCTATTACAAAAGGGAACTTTTCTTTACTTCTTGCCCTTCATAAGCATAAATCTGACCCCCTGAGTTACAATCAGTTACACTCATGCTGTAGGGCTCTGAGTACAACATCCCTCAACAATCTCTCAGTTTGTATCCAGTTCTCCAGGAAGATCCTGTACTAGGGTCATTATAGCCATGCTAAATATGGATGTAATTAATTACAGGGATAAAAACTTACCTAGCCCCCTGTGTGCTTAATACAAGTAACTAAAGACAAAGTTTGTCTACTCAGATACACCCAATAGACACACCATACTGAAATGCCTATGACCTGCAAAATATGGCATTTAAAATGTTTTATTTAAAAGCTTTTTGTAAACAAGAGGCATGCCAGCTCCTGGCAGCACTGCCATTTTCTCCAAAGAAGATAGCTGGGCACAGAACCTACACCCACAACTTGCTTCATACTTAGCAGTGCAAGCCACTGAGAAATCCTGCCTCTCACCCCAACTGCTGCAAAGGCCTCTTCAGATTGTGGCCAACAGGACAGTAGGGAATTTACTGCCTCAAGTTGCCTAGGGCAAAGGTAGGCTGGTCTTCCTACAAACTCCTAATCCACTGAATTATCTGAAGCCTGCAGGCATAAACCCAAACAGCAGAAGATGAATGTTGCCCTGAAAGCTCTGCCCTCAGTGCCAATGGAGAACCCTGGTGAGTGATTGTCCAGGTGACCAGCAAGTAAATTTCTGTTATTTTCAATCATTAATCCAGGTAAAATTTTATCCTTCTCAAGAACTCTAATGCAGTTTGATGGCTGGTAGGTTTGTCAGCTGAAAGCAACAGCCAAGGCTTCAGCAGATTTCTCAGTTCTCTATGCAAAAATTCAAGTCACAGGCCTCACTCTCTTAGAGCCAATACTAAGTTTATCTCTTTTACCAAACTCAAAAATGGGATAAACTCACAAAGCACATTTCACTATCACTTCTTACCATTCCTTTGTCTAAAGGAACTTACTTTACAGTGACTGCTCTCAGTAGTCAGCCACCTGTATTCATGGGTGAATTAGATAGAAGGTGTTTTAAAGTTGATGTGAGGACATGAAATCTTAAGATGTGAGGATCTAAGAAAGTTTCAGAGTCTAAGAAAGTGACTTAATGTGTGTAAATGCAAATTATGCGATGGGGAATGTTCTTCTATATATATGTTTCTCTTATTGGTTAATGAATAAAGTACTGTTGCCAAATAGGAAGGCAAGATAGGCAGGACTAGGACACAAGGAGGATTTTGGGAGATGTAGTAAGGGGATTCAAGATGTAGGGACTTGAAAGAAGAGGTCCAGACCCTCTCTCCAGTAATATAAGAACACATGGAAACACTTAGATTGATAGCAATGGGTTAATATTTAAGGCAAGCTAGCTAATAAGAAATACTATAAACAGGCCAACATCTTTATATCTAATACAGTGTCTCTGTGTGTTAGTTGTGGCTGACACAGCTGTGGGACCAGGCTGGTGGGAAAACAGATCACAACAGTTATGAAGGTCTGAAGATGGAAAGGCCTAAGTGCTGACAAAGAGAATGTCTTATATTAAGACTTGAAAAATTTGTAGTCCTAACAGTTCTGGATAGAGTTCAGATAAGCTATTAATCCACCTCTGACAGAGTGCAAAACACTGTATTATACAATCACAAAGGCAAGCTAAAGATTTTAAATTCCCTTTGGGTGCTTTTTAACTATAGACTTTAAAGGTGCATCTCACTGTGTTAAAAACGTCTGTCACAGTTTTCCAGATGGAAGGAAGAGTGTTAATGCTTTCAACCAAAATCATTTCTGGCATGAGTATACTGCCATTTCTACGATGTAAATTTCAATACAAATTACAAACAGTAAAATTGTTAATGTATCTAAAGCTTATGTTCTTATAAACTGCAAGAATACTTTTAAGCTTCAGGAAATCAACTTGGAATCACTCTAAACAGGTCAGACACAGTCCAGATAGGTACTGTCAATCAACCGTCTAAGCCTCTCCACCTGATGGGTCTGACCTTCACCCAGCCCACTTCCACCCCCCACCCACCCCACTCACCCCCTGAACCCCCCACTCCACCCCTGCTTTAGCAGCCATGACAGGCTGCAGAAAAGGCCCCTGACTCACCAACATGTGCTTGCCTGACCTTGCCCTTCCTCCCAGTCACTAGGATGTCAGATACCCTCC